TCGTCCTTGATACGGATGTACAAAGGTACTTTACCTACGCACTTACATTGTTTCTCCTTGCGCCGCTAATACTGTGTTGTATTATCCGCATTAATATATGCGGTATTTGCGAAAATACTTTCTAAAAAAGACTTCTGCCACACAGGAACACTGCGCGCCGGTATCCAGGAGTGCGGTGGCCGGGATATTATTTACCAACACTTCAATCTTCGGAAGAGTTAAATTTTTCACCATTACTGTATTTAACTTGTAGGAAGAGGGGTTTTCGTGGCCTTCAGATTTCCGCACCCTCTCGTCAGCAGAAATCCGTTTTAGTTTAAATTATTTTTCCTTTCGGTGCTTTCCTTCTTTCTCTCCACTGGCCTTGAGACTTTTTCCTGGGTTGCTATTGAACTGTCGACGTTCGCCGGCTGTTTTTGAATGCTCGGGTTTCCTTGCCCACTGATTCGCTTTTTCTCCGTAGCCAGTGTGCTTGAGTTTGCTGTAGTCTTGGCGTACCAAATTGGTTTCGTCTGCTGTGATATTGGCGTCTTCTTTCGACGTCCGCCGTTCTTCTACTTTCAAACTCACTGCATTGCTAGCTCAAATAACTTTTTCCAGTGTAGTCGGATTTCATAATTCAATAAAGTCTTGCACTTGGGGTAGTAACCTCGGCAAAATCACTTGAATTATTTCAGGATCCGGACGGTTTCCATACAAGAGCTTGAAAACGTGAATTTTTCTTAAAATAAAGCTCGAGAGGTTTTCCATTCTTTGTTGATATATACTGAAAAGTTCTGTTTCTCTAATTTCGCACGATCCCTTACAACAGGGAAGGCTTTTTAGTAGGGCAGTCTTGAAATTTTTCGTAAGTATAGGTGGGACTTCCTGCTTGACCCAAGAGACTTCTGCCGATACATTTGAACCAGTTAAGCGCTTGGCCCCTCAAAGCGCTGGTAGCTAAGGTAACTTTTTGAAACTCGTGCACGGGGTAGAGCATGAAGTGGTCATCCAATTTTTCCAAAAAAACTGGTTACCTGTGAGTTTCCATTAAACGTTGCTTCTGGTTTCATCGAAGCGCGCATGGTCTGGACGATGTACCCAAATCCTTCCAGAGCGGCAGCTGGCATTTCTGGATTCTGAGCCGTTTCTGCAGGCAGCACAGGTTCTTCTTGAAATTCGGCCATGGTTATTCTTCGTCGGGCGCCACTATCATCAGGTTCAATGTTTCTTCTAACCTTCTTCGGAAACATACAATGACCTGACTAGGAACAGAGAGCTTACTAAAGCTATGTTCACTAATTGTAGTAAGTAGACAGGATACAGACGAAGGGTATACAAGACCCTTTATTTTTCTTTATATACAATGACTTTCCGTACTTCGGAATACAATGACCCTCCACTCGGGGTCTAACGTAAAAGGTATAAAATAAAACTAAACTCTAATTTAACTTTAGAATAAGATTGGCCTTATAATAACAGGAAGCGTATGTAGCACAGAGACTGTGAACACTACAATACGTTTAATTATTCAAGAGGATTAATACCTCTGGCCTGGAAGGCAATTAGCAACTGCGTAACTTCTAAGGTAAGCGGCCTGCTTCGAACTCACGGCTTCCTCTCTCCTGCTTGGCAAAAAGGCCACACTTAAATACTTGGCGTTCGCCAGACAACTTTGCATAAAATCCTTCACGCTTATAATTCTGGCCGGAAGTAGAAAATAAGAAGTGATAGTAAAGATTTAAAATAAAATAAACGTTAGTAAAACTTAAGATCCTTACAATCGTAACTGAGAAATTAAGTTATTTAAAAAATATAGTTTAAAGTACTGAAAATAATTAAGGCTATTATTAATTATGCATATTTAGTCCAAAGAGAAATTTAAAAACTATAGTTTAAAGTACTGAAAATAATTAAAGCTATTATTAATTATGCATATTTAATCTAAAGAGAAAAAATTGTATTATCTTCTGGTTTTCAGGAAATGATAAAATATTTAAACTTTAGAAAAATACAAGGAATACAATATTTTAAAAAAGAAGAAAAATATATTAATTATTAAGCTTATTTTTCTGCATAAATCAATATGTAATACAAGGACGTAATAACGACAATTTCACAACTGCAGAAAGGTGGAATTTTGCGAACATTTAGGCGTTGTTAAGACGTCGTGATACGAGGCTTTCACAACCAAAATATCACCTGCGAAAGACGCAATAACGACGTCTATGCGACAAAAACCTCATCTGCAAAGACGTAATAAAGACGTCTTTGCAACGGTTGCAAAACATTGGAGCTTCGCGGACATCTGGGCGTCTTAAAGGCGATATATTGCAACGTTTTGCGACGACATCCGCGACGAGTTTGCAACGTCGTTACGACGTTGTTGTGCTACTTGGGATCCAATGCATTTCTAAATAAATGCATTCTAAAATATGGTGCACTATTTGGGGAATATCAGATAACGATCCCCAATTTATGAGCCAAGTTTTTGAAGAATTGTGTGCAGGGCTTGGCATTCCGTCACCTAAAGATGGTCCCTAACAGATCGCAGTCAAATATTGCCGAGCACGTAAATAAGAACATTGCAAAAATCATCCATGGTTACGCAAAAACTTAATACCTATGCTGGGATGACTGTGTCAATGAGTTGGCTTTTGTCCTGAGAACGGCCTAGCACGATACCACGGGAAAAACTTGTGAATTATGTTTAGGGAGAAAAATAACTATCCCCTTAGACAAGCTGTTCTTTGTTCAGAAAAGGGAGGCAGATTTTAAACTAAATGATATTCAAAAAATAATTAACGAGGCAATAAGAAACTCAGACATAGTCAGAGAAAAACAGAAACTTTATTATGATATGAAAAGAAGAGAAGTGACCGTAAAGCTGGGGATAAGGTCCTGAAAATAAAACATTCGTTGTCTTGTGCCCCACTAGATAAAGTGTCCAAATTTTACCCCACATTTGAAGGTCCTTTCGTTATTGTGCGTATTTATGATTCGGTGTCATACTTAAAAGGAGAAAGAGCTGGCAATGTCCTGCCAGTGTGCATCAAGTCGAAAAGTACTATGACCGATAAACCTATATTTAAAGATACTTTACAGGAAGCGCCAAAAATAATTGCATGTATGCATAATTGGATAAAAGTTTTGCATGTGGAAGGTGGAACATGTCATTGGAAAGGCATGTAATGGATTAGGAGAAATAATGTGGTTGGGAGAATGGAAGCAGGACAAACACTGACATAGATATCTAAAAACGTAAAACTAACCAAAAGTGTTATGTCAGGAATCTTGAAATGGTTTAGAGACATTGGTGATATATGCAGACAATCGGTTGAGATAAAAAAGATACCATAGCAGACTATCAGGACAGTTATTTGGCAACTAATTGTTTTCTAAAAGAAATAGATGACTGATATCAGCCCAGATTAGAAGGGCATGTACTACAGCCATAGGAACGTGAGTATCCATATGTACCATGTATAACAGATTGCATAAAAGAGGGCTGTTTGCAAGGAAACCGCTGATTTATGTTCCGCTTATTTGGCCAGCGAATTGTTCAGATGGATCATCGGGATTTTGTGTGGATTATCGGGATTGATGTATCACGGACTAGGGTAAAGTTCTCTGTATCGCTAAGTCTCATGTTTGTTTGGGAAATGATTCTAGACATTTATAGTAAGGAGGTTATAAATCACACTCTGAAAACATCTGTGAAAAGCATCAGTAGAAAGGTGGCAGAATTATACATTTTTATCAGTGCAAATATGAATGTTGAAATATATACAGATGAGGTTGTAGGGTTACACTTATTCTGGTAATGCTGTTTCGTCCGATAACCCTAAAAGACATGAAGTGAATTAATGCTATGTCTGAAACAACGACAAAGTCATGAGAAGGTTAAAAATAACCTGATTATTTAAACGGAATTTAGAACATAAAGGCACTCTGTTGTGCTACAATTTCCACACCTTGTGATGCAAAATAAAATAGAATAGTCCAGATTAAATCAAACAGAAGCACTACTCAAAGACTATATAATTAATTACTATACTAGAAGCTAGCTAACTAGTCTATTGAAGTGTCAGAATTAAAAAGTCAGCAGCGAGAAAACACAAGGACGAATAATTGCAACTATCAGAGCCGTAAACTAACATGCAATGTGCATGCGATCCCAGGAACATGCTGTGTCTTAAAATCAAACAACCTCAGATCAAATACTGGCTATTCATTTGCATTCTGGTGAGGAATATGGAAAGATAAGTTATATTAAAGGCTGAAATTATAAATAACAATTATTGAACATAAAATTCCCTTCAAGGTTCTTGATACAGATGCCAACTTGTTTGGAGGTACAGTCAGTAATAACTTTATGCTAATGAATGATAATACGTCATGCTGCCCTAGTGATTGATGGAATACAGCAGAAGGAATGGCTTGCATAATCTCCGGATTTAAATCAGATAGAATATGCACGAGTTGCTAGGATGCCAATTTGCATCAATGTGCCCTCCCGGTATTCTCCAGGACCTTCAAGTACTTTTCAGCATGAATACATTTTATTATCACAGAAACTCCTAGTGTATATATTACATAGCATGGAAAATTGATATAATACTTGCATTTTGTTCAGGGCAACAACATATTAATTTTTTCTGTTTCCCTTTTTTAAAATGTCAAACCTACCAATTTTTTGCTACCGCACTTTATATCACACTTCTTTTGTTATTTAAATTTCTTTTTGACAGAAATTAGTAGTTCTGAATTTTGAAGATATGTCAAACATGACAAAATAAAGATCTCGTGCAAATTCCTTTTTGTGCATGCAAAATCATTCAAGTTACATGAGTTCTTATAATTGTTCCTTTAATGTCCCCACCCTCTTATATGTGTCTCAAATATATTTAGCTGCTTGGTGTTCTATCTTTTAATAATTATTTTTATAAACTGTGACTTTATATTTAGTAAAAATGTGTTTCCTTTGTTTATCTAATTTTTGTTTTATTTCTTTAATGTAGGTCTGCTATTTTTGCAATAGTGGGTCTGAAGCCAGTGATTTAGCATGCCTTCTTGCAAGATTGTCTACAGGTGCATTTGACATTCTTTCTTTAAGGTAACTCTAAAATTTTGATTCTCTTATTTTGCTTTTTTTCATTTACACGCACACATGTATAGGGGTACTCGGAATGTATATTGCAAAAATGTGGAAGCAGGTAAAAGTGACCAAAATAAACAGATTTTGTGTTTGAATGTGCGTGCCCAAATGGCATGTTGCAATGCTGTAGTGCGCTGTTGAGCGATAAGTAAAAGCATTTACTCATAAAGTATATTGCAAAAATGTGAAAGCAAGTAAAAGTGACCAAAATAAACAGACTTTGTATTTGAATATGCGTGCCCAAATGGCATGTTGCAATGCTGCATTGCGTTGTTGAGCGAGAAGTAAAAGCTTTCTGCTGGCGGGAATTTCAAATAGCATGTATTAGTACACAAAAGTAGATGTCGCTTTCACCGACATGCATTTTATCTGTAGGGACTAGAGATGGAAATGGATCAGCTGCGGATGCACATGGAAATAGTCATTGAGCCTCTCTTTAATAGCTGCGCTGTTTTAGTCACAGCCCTGTAGATGAAATGCATATTGGTAAAATTCATATTCATCCATATTCGCCTACTGCTCAAAATGTGCTTGGGAAATGCCAGTATATGCAAGTTGTATGTTTTTATCTTCCTCTCAACTGGACTCTGTACACCTCAAAGTGTTATTTTGGCAAACACATTCCATTACAAAATCTATTTGTTTCATTTTCCTCTAGCTCCCTCAGCATTTTTGCCAAATATTTTCTGATATATATATGATTTAAGATGTGTGAGATGTTAACAAATAAATATTCAAGTCAGTGCATTCTCTGCAAAACCCCACACACGGCATGTAGTGAAGAATGCCTGATTCACTCTGATGATTAGAAAGAAACAGCACACCTAAAAGAAAATTTTAAAATGATACATGGATAGTTATATATATAGGCCCGCAAAATGACTGAAGAACGGTACATTTTTTATGCTTTAGTACTTGTAATCTGATGTCTTTTAAAATTTGTTTCTAATGAGACAAAATAATTTCCTTTTATTAATATGAACAACTTTAAATTTCAAAAGTTATTCATCGTGCATCATCATTTCTATCATAAACAGTACAAATATAGCAATAATTAAAAGTACATATATGAACAACCTGTGTATATTTATGGCATTTGCTTTGTGGTTTTAGGGCATAACCATTGAGCCACAATACTACTGTGAGCATTTTGAAGAGCAGTTTGTAAATCTGCTCTTTAAAATGCTCAAAATGTTCTAGGTCCTCAATGGTTACGCCCTGAAACCACTGCTCTTCACAATGGTGTTTGCTGCTGCTAAATAGGAGTGTTTATTTTTACCCGAATATAGATAAGGGAAACTGAAACTACAGAGTTATTTTATTAATAAACAATATGTTCACCTGCACAGTGAAAATGTATTTTTCTCTTTTTTGTAAAAAGATGTTTTTTTTTTCCAGAAATTTTTCTCTTCTCAACACGCTTGCTTCCTATGCTAGTATTACGATTTTATAAATTATTTTGTATAGTTTAAAGGTAATATAAATATATTTTTCTATAATTAAAAATACAAATTACATAAAAGCTTTATTTAAATTTAAAATATTTTATATATACATATGTCATAATAAAAGCAAAGGAAAAGACAGAACACTGTAGATGCGTGATTAGACCCATATTGAAGAAGATTTTGATTGCGTAGTATGCTAGTAATGCTAACTTGGTAATATCTAAAGAACTTGGCAGTCGAGGCAGTTTTAATTCAATTTTTATTTGCAACTGATATTTATGGCCACAATCACTTGGCACTCTAGTCGTGAATTTTGAGGATCTACCCCTAAATTCATCTCTTCTCACAGGTTTCAGAGTTTTCTATCTTACGTAACGTTTTAATGCAGATACCTCTTGTCCAATCAAATTAATTCTAAATCAAAACTCTTAACTGAAACTTTCCCACTCCCAGCCTTCTTCCTATGAAAGTACTATAACCTTCCCCTTTTTCCGCGTTAGCTCTCCTGCTGGTAAGATGCTTTTCATCCATGCTGCTGCCGCTTACTTGCTTAAGATGACGTCGTACTTCAAAATGGGAGTTATTCTATTCAAGTATTATTAAGAAATATCTTGTTTGAAAAAGGATTATTTGATATGCATGGAAAAAATAAAGATTGTGATTTTTCAAGGTATGTTGTGCTAAATTGCGTCATCATGCTTTCTACTCTGCCACCTTCAAGCCACTACGGTCTTCTCTGTCATCTACGCAGTATCGTAAGCTGTTGGGAGGTCCACTGCTTTCATCTACGCATTTGAAATCATTACATATATATATATATATATATATTTTTATTGCTGAGACTTAAAATACCTCACAAACGGTTAGAAATAGTTGATGCTTTACTTGAAGAATTACCTTCAGTTCCAGAATTGGTGGTCTCTGAGGATGAAAGTGATGGAGAGGGAAGCACTCCTTTACCCACGCCATCCTGCTTATTAAAATATAGGAGATAAAAGAGATACTCAGTTAGAAAATGATGATATAAATTTAGAAGGTCCTTTCAAATCGCACAGGTTTTGTGAAATGAAACACAGAACATAGTTAAATCCATTCTGGAATTTTGTGAGGATTATGGCCCAGCTGAAGAAATTACTTCTATGGAAGATGCTAAACCCATTGATATATCTGTCTTTTTTTACTATTGCATTCTTAGAAAAATCAGTTTTTGAAACTGATTTATATGCAACTCAACTTTCGCGCTGCGGCGGTTTTGTTTACTGGGTGGTAAAAGGAAGATTTAATTGGCGTCTTTTTTTCACTTTCTCTGTGAAAGCTTCAAGTGTTGAATAAATGAGTTTCTTTCGGACGGAAGGGCATTTCTAAATTTCATTTTAAGAGGCAGCATTGATTCTTATCTTTTATTTTTCCGCTTGTTAGCTGGGGATCGAATTTTGGATTCTCACGCTTTTGAGCGACTCCCTGTTTCCAGCTGGTCAGCAGGTCTTTGTACAGCGTCTCTATTTCGATTTATTGAGGGGTGGGAAGTTTTTCAGAATAAAATTTCAAAAATAAAAAGAGAAATTCTCGGGTTGGTCAAGTTTAATTTTATATGTAATTTTTCGGACTACAGTTTTTAGTGGTTGGAGAAACCAAGTTTTCTTTGGAACTTTTACGGGTAGTGAAGTCAGATTTGAGTTTTCTGATGTGAAGTTAGTAAAAAGGCATCGTGGGGTATTCGCCCAGCTATGGGTTTGCCCTGCTGCAAGCTGCCTGAGTCAGCGGTGTGAGGCCACGTTTGTTTTGCCTTGGGCTAATGAGGATTTTCGTTTGCGTGATGTCAAGAGCTCTTTCACAAAAAATTTAGCATCGATTTACCTTGTTCGCCTCTTCTTCATTATTTCTTTCGAACACGATTAAAAGACATTCTCGAAGTGGTTCCCGACTTACTGAAGTGTTCCAGAAAGAAGTATTTGTACTTAGTATTTTCCGGGACCTGTGGTTCCTCACTCAAAGAAGTGTTCCAGATACAAGTATTTGTCATTGGGTTCCGCCACCTGCAGTTCCCGACATACAGAAGCATTCCAGATACAATTGTTTTTCATTGGTATCCGGCACCTGCAGTTCCTGACTTAAAAAAGCGTTCCAGATACAAGTATTTGTTATTTGGTTTCCAGCACATGTTCCTGACCCAGATGCATTCCAGAATGGACATTCCCGAAGCCGTTCCTGATCTACGGCCGTTACAGTTAGAAGTATTTGTCCTTAGTATTCGGCACTTGCACCGACTTACAGGAGCGTTCCAGATGCAAGAGCGTTTAGTATCAGGCATCTGTAGTTCTTCCTGAAAATAATTGATGCTTCCAAAAGTGTTTTTACCAGAAAAATGGTCTTCGCTTTTTTTCTTCCAGAATATTGGATTGGACACTAAGGGTCTTTCAATTCAGAAAAATTGTCTCCCAGCTGTGAGTGAAATTTCTTTAAAAAATTTTGTTTCTGTATTCCCTAATTCCATGGTGGACTAGTTGAAAATCATTCAGAATTCAAATAGCGATGAACACTTTCTTTTTTATTTTACCCATTCGTTAAAGGATAATAGATTAGTTGCAAAAAACTCTGCATTGGGAGTTCCACGCACTTGAGACATCATTGTAGGTTCGAAAATCGGCTGCGCCAAAAAATGTAATGATAGCACAAATTTTGGAAGCACTATGCGCAGAAATACTGATGGAGTAGTTACTTGGTGCTTAGAGCGTCCATCCATTTTGAGGAAGACTAAACAGTCAAGCCGAATTACATTTCATATTTATTTAAATTCACGTTTTGTTATATTTTACAATTTCGTATTTTACACAAACTAGAAGACCCCACAGCTTTCTCGTATTGCACACATATCCGGCTATTTGGGCATACCCACTTTAACTAACTCACGTGTTAAATTTTCATGAGTGGTTAGTGAACTGCAATACAACATTCCATTTATATTAAAAAAACACACACACTCCATTATATGAAAAAATAAAATAAAAATCCTATATAAAAAGTTAAACAAAGTGGGATCCTTCAAAGTTTATATCATATGAGGAGGGTAAAAGGAACAGTTATGCAGAGGTAAAACTGGCCTCTGTTTCTGAACCAGTACTGCCTCAACATACTTTATATTTAACATACAATTATGGATAATTATAACATTCATTTTACGTAATTCCAAAGAAATTTTAATACATTTTACTTTTAATTAAATTCTGATATAAATTTTATCATGGTTATTCAATTTCTTAAATCTGTGGTATGTCTATATTAATTTTAACAATATTTAATATTGTACCATTTAATAATTATTTCATTCATATTTCATACACATCACTCTTAAAGTAATTAGAAAATTCTTAAAATTCAAATTTTTAAACAATAATCTTATTTACAAAATGATTTCAAAATTCCTATCTTGTCAACAAAATAGTTCCAAAATTTTTAACATTAAGTCAAAATTTTTTACAAAACTTATATGTACTAATAACAATAAAATTT